TCTCCCCTGACCGCGTGCTTCCAGCCTGAGAGGAAGTCCACTGCGGCTTCTTGAACTCGGCGCTGTACTTGTTGAGCATGTTCTCCATCTGTGCGATCCGGGCTGCACGTTCTGCGTCCTTGTCGACGCCTTTTCCGGAGATTATCCCCTGGAGGAAGTTCGCGAGAGCCGCAATAGTCGGGTTCGTGTAGACGAAATTGGATGGGATGTCGTGCACGGAAATCTTCGTGGTCGTCCGGAGCGCAGAGAGGATGGTGTTGCGGATGTACGTCGCTTGCAAGCTCCACGTCCTATGTCAGCACTCATACCGACTCTCCAGGTTGCGCCCGATCTGCTCACCTGTCGCCTCCCTGTTGGAAGAAGTCGTCCTCATCTCGGATCTGGGGAGCCTTCAATACGCTCCTTACTACCTCGCGCACGTACACGCGAGCGGTTTCGTCCGTCCAGGTCCCGGGAGTGGCAACGTTCACCTGCGAGGATTCTTCGACCTTTCTATACACTTCCTCGATCTCGTCTGCGTAGTCCTTCAAGCAGACGTGGCGACGGGGTGTTCCCTTGGCAGTATACTGGAAAGGCTTTGACGGATTCGTGACAGTGATCATCTGTATCCATGTGAGTCTGCGAGCAGCGAGAAACCAGCGGGTAGGCACACACCTCCTTGAATATGCGTGAATGCGATGGTGCGAACTTGTTCGCGCGCTCTACCGCCGGCCTACAAATTCCGTTAGCCCATAATGGAGTCGTAGCGCAACTTTATAGGCTGCGTACCAGATCTTGTTCCGGAATGCCTCCAGCTTCGCCTCGTCAGCCGGATCGAAAGGTTCCTTCGGCTGGACGATCACGCCGTTCTGGAAGCGTCCGCGCCCGAACATGAGAGCAGCTTGAACGTTCGGGTCTTGCGATATGATAGTTTCTGGTCAAAGGATGAGAGGACATGCATGATGATGTGGAAGATGAACTGACCCAAGGGAACAGGGTTCGTCTACCGTTGCTGCCAATGAGCGGTTCGTCAGGCCATAGGTAGGAGAATCTGACTCACCTTTTCTCCGGTAGACAGGATGATCTGATCGTCAGCTCTTCCCAGGACCTTGAAGTAGGCTGGATTCGTAGGATGCTCCTGCATCAAGTCGCTGGTCGAGTATGCAGGACGTCCGTTCAGGGTGCTATTGAAGACGTTGGGCGTTGCCAGTGGAGACTCCTGAAGTACAGGGCAGCCCATCAGTTAGCATCGACCGGCTCATCGGGAATCGTCGGCACGTACCACAAACACGAGCTCGAAGACACCCGGCTGTCCCTCCTGGTAGACTCGTTCGATCCCGAGATGGGAGGAAAGCGTGACGTAGTCCCAATCGCGGGGGTCCGTCTTGCTGAAGTCTCGGAAGTGCTTGGTGGAGGCCCCAGTCTCGGTCCTGGGGGAGACGTTGTCAGTAACGCGATACGAGGGTAAGACGAGTGTACGGACAAGCCATATCCAGTTATGATCCTCACGCCCTCGCTGACGAGATGGTCTCCGACTTGCTTGTTCAGCGGCGCGCCTGCGTACATCTTACCCGACGACATTGTTGTCAGATTGTGATGCCCACAGATATTTAAGCCTGCAGACGTACGATGTTGCGGAACGACTTGAGTGCTGGTATGTTTGCCGGATCGCGTGCCCATGCCTGAGTAGGAGAAGGTCAAAGAGACTTCACGAGCATAGGAACTTGATGCATACCTCGATGAAAGCGGGCACGCAGACCATGAAGTCAGACTTGCTTGCGATCGCTGCATTCAGCAAGCTGTCGGGTGTAGGCACGATCGGGGGCGATGCCGGCCGGAATACGTTGATGACTACCCCGGTTCCAACCTGAGACAACGGACGTCAGACGATGACATCGAAAAAAAAAGCTGACGACATACTGCCCAAGTGATAGGGAAGGAACCCATAACATCTGTGGGGAGCCTTGTCAGCGTGAGCGAACAAAGGAATGCCTGTCGTGTTGACTCACGGAAGAGAGGGAGCGCATGCAGAGAGGCATGCAGGCCACAGATATCGATATCACCGAAGTCTAGGACGAAGCATGGTCAGATGTGGGTGACGGAATAGAAGGCGGACCGTACGTACACGGACCGAACGCCCAACGAGCAAAGTTGCGGTGGGTAATTGGGATAGGCTTTGGAAAGGAGGTGGATCCTGCATGCGGTTATTTACATCCGAACTGGATCGACAGGGCAGGTTGACGTACCGGAAGAGTGTATTATGAGCGCTTGGTTGTCCCCGCTCAAAGTGCCCATCTTGACACCGGCGGGGACCGTGTCCTCGTTGTACAGCTCCCCAAATTCAGGCATCAGCAAGAGCTGGACGTGATAGCCGTCTTTCTCGAGGTCCTCCTTCGCCTCCTGTGCGACACGTTGCATGCCGGCATCGCTGCTCACGAGAATCTCGTGGATGCCAGTCGAGCGAACGAGGTGCACCACAGCAGCGGCTGAGTTCCGGGTGGAAAGCGGGAACGGTGTGAGCCCGAGGTACATCATGCCCACAATGAGCGTCAGATAAGTCGTTGAGTCTGCACATGTCCAGTACATTGATCAGCGCGCTGTCATGCGCGGAAATAGCGGGACCGAACGCGCACCAGCTATGGCCAGAATGCCGACGACATGGCGCTCGGTGGCTGGCTGGTGCGGGACGACTCCAGAGACGAAGTGCGCAGCCTTGCGGATGCCGCGGAAGACGTCCGTGTAGGTGAGCGTCGTGATCGAGCCGTCCTCCTCGTCGAATGCAATGACCGGATGGTTAGGGCTCTTCTCAGCGTGGAAGGCGTAGAGCTCTGGAATGGTGAGATCGCCGAAGAACGGAGGAGCCGTCCACGTCTTGCTCCCGACGCCTTGAGGCGCAGTGACGGCAGGCTGTGCGGAAGTTGCGGAAGACATAGTGCTGCGTGTACTGTAGTGGTGATATCACGCAAAAGAGGAGGTGAGTATGAATGTTGGGATGAGGGAAGTGGTATACCTCGACGTCGTGGTTTAAATAGACGATTCGCTGCGCCCGCGGTGTCGTGCGGGTGCACTTATTCGCAGGATTACACCTGGTGACACCTCCGCTGTGGTCTTCTCGGGGCGGCTAACCGGGTTCGGGAACGTCCCAACCGACAGTCCACTGGTTGAGAGACTCAGATAGCTTGACTGGACCCATACTTCGAGCGGCGAGCCTGTAATGGTGTCACTGTTAGACTGTTAGTCAATCCCCGAGGCGTGCCCGAGGCTGCTTGAGGGCGAAGCGCCTACCGTGCGACTCCGGCGAGGCTGATTTGAACAGGCTCCTTGCCTTCAGCTCCTCCGAGTCAGTGACAGTCTATGGCCGGTCTTTGCTGAATGAGGGGGTGAGAAACATAGTGGTGTGATGGGTAGAGTAGTCAAAGAGTAAGTAATGCGTACTGTATGTTAGCGGCGGTCTTACCAGCGATAGCTTGAATAAGTAGCTGATTCGATGCATTTAAACTTGTGCTCGATCTACAGTTTGCCTTTGAAGACTGAAGTGGAGTGTCTGGACAGCAAAAAGTCCTGCTCATCTGGAACGCGACACCAGTAGGGTTCGAACCTACGCTCCCAAAGGGAAACAGATAACAGCAACGTCTACTGAGGTACAGTTCTAATCTGTCGCCGTAACCACTTGGCTATAGTGTCGTGTGCGCAGCCAGAGCAGCCACCCCTCTGCCCGTACGGCGCCACCTCAAGCAACTGAGCTCTGGTATCGAGATTGAGGCTGGGAAAGTAGTGTTACAACAAACGGAGTACTTATGTACACGCGCACCCAAACGAGAGACAGTCCTACATATGCCACGTGTATCAGGCAAAGAGGAGAACAAGAACGAAAGACAATGAAGGGGATATTGAAGAACCACCAGGGAGGCTAGGAGGCCCCTCCTACGCCTCCATGGAGACTCGCAAACCTCGCCCGTATCGCGAGTAGAACGCACGGACAAGTAAGGGATAACTATAATGTAACAGACACACCTACACCCCCACTCACGCCATCCCCGCAAGCTGCGTCCTCGTCCCCAGCTCCGTGATAGACTGCGAGTCGTCGTGCAGACCCCACATGAGCGCGACGCCTCTCTCATCGAATAGCGTACGGCGCGCCTTGCTCTTCGACCGTGCAGAACGCACCATGCGCGTGTACTTGTCCCTCGGAAAGGCGTACACCATCGGCATCGGGTCGTCGTCGAGCCCGAGCCCGAGCTCGACCATCGACTGGCTCAGGTCAGGCGACGCAAAGCGTAGGGGCGAGAGCGAGCGTTCTGGGGGCGAGGGGTAGTCTTGTGGGTATGGTGCGGGCGATTGGAACGGGTACGGAGAGGCACGCGAGGGAGACAGCGGAGAGACAGGTGACGGAGGAAATGATGGGGAGAGTGGGGATGGTGGCAGGGAGTAGCCGTCGGAGGATGGTGATGCGAGGTGGAAACCGCGCGCTGTCGGTGACGGGGGTTCCGACACGGAGATCTGAAGGGGAAGGGGTGGCGTGAGGGCGAGCCGTTCTGCCACTGTTCGGAGCTCCGCTTGGGGCTGAACAGCTTTCTCCATGATCCCGTACTCTCTGCAGACGTCCGGGTGGCTGATGCGAGGCGCGCGAAGGAGGTATGGCTCGGAGAGGCTGACGACGATGTC